TCATTCACCTGGATGTCCTCCGCAGTGGCCGCTTTCTGCGCCTCCAGGATGTCGACACACATGATCTGTATAGCCCGCACCAGCTTGGCATACTGCTTGTACTGATCAGCAAGATCATCCGGAGGCTTGACGGAGTCAGCTGCAGCGGTGGCCAACCTGTCTGCTGCAGCATTGTACGCCGTGTGGAGCTGGTCTTGCCCAGAGCCCCCTCTGCCATGTGCCGCAACCTTGGTGAACTTGAAAAAGACGGAGCCTCCTTTGGCCTGCCACGCATTGGCTGCGTGCTCCAGGAGATCCGCATTTGCCAAGTCTTTGTAGGAGATGCCCTGCTCAATGCGTCTGAGACCGTCCAGCGTGGCCTTTCGATCGATCAGGATTTCAGTGGGCCTCCACGCCGTCCTGATGATGTGGAGAGCTGCCGCAATCTCAGCACGAGCAGCGTCACGGACAACTCCCATCAAAGGAAAGCTTCTGTTGCAACTGTGGTCCTTGCCATAGTACATCCCACATCCAGCAGATCGTAGCTTTGGAAACTGTGCATGCCGACACGCCCCGTCCGACGCAGTGAGAAGGAAGCCATCGCGAATGACTTCACATTCCGCATCGCCAGGTTCTGTAGCATGTGCAGCGCCATCTGTCGTTTCTGGGGTATAGCTTTGTACAAACCAATCCTCAGCCTCAGTATGCACGGGAGCAACGCCGCAGTGAGCCAAACATCCATGCATGAACCACCGCTGCTGTTCTGTAGTGATGGACTTCACGTACTGCCGCAAGCTTTCCCATCGCGGGCAGGTCCAGAAAAGATGCCAGCCATCCTCTTCTTCATGCCGATCACAGAAAGTGCACCACGGCGTTTCAACCACCTTGGCCCGATGCAGCCGTTGGCGTGTGTAGAGGGCACCCCCCAAACATCGGCGTAGAATCCCAATCCGCAAAGGAGTTGTGACATTGGGGTTGCGCTCCCAAGTGCGCAACAAGGCAACCGTGATGTCATAGTCAACGCCCGCATGCTGGCCAACGTTGTCCTTTCTGTGAGTCCCGTTTGCAATCTTGTCGCGTCTGTAGGATTCCCGCAACTGATGCTCGAAGATGTTTTTTGCCAAACCACATTGTAATGGAACATCACCGGGTCGCTGAAAAACATCATACTGAGACCAGGTCCATCCCAAATCCCGCGCAACAACGTCAAGTCTGTGCAAAATACCACCGGTGACCACTTCGGGGCACTGCTGCTTGAGCGCCCATGCGTGTTGTAGTTTGGATCTGGTATGCTCGTCTCGAACAATCTGGCGTCGCCATAGGCGTAGGGGTTCATGATGCTCTATGGCCTCAACATCGAAACGATGACCTTTGAAGAGAATCGCCAAGGTAATGGCCATGTTTGGCCACATATTGTCGCAATTCCACAAGGTCTGACGCAACAATGCCATGTACTCCTTCTTGGCCTTGTCGGAGTATCCCCCTTGTTCTGTGCCAAAAGCTATGGCCGCGGAGGCAAAAATGTCCACCAAGTAGCCGCGAACCTGCGGAGTGCCGGGTACACTTCGTATTCGGCGCATGACCGTGATGAGCCGCTGAAGTCTCTCATCTTGCTTGTCCTCTGGGAAATCACCGCCAAAAGAGAGAAAAGCACCCAGCAGCTTGCCATAGTCTGCTACCGTGAGCGGTTGCCCATACAGGTTTTGCTGCTGCAAGTGTGCTTTGAGCTCTTCCCCAATTGCAAAAGCGATGGACTTCTCTCCATTCAGCAATCCGCCAGTGTACTCATCGAACTCTATGGTTGCAGCCAAAGCCGTATCAAGAGTCTCCTGGTCTGGCCCCGTTGTGCTGGAGTCATCATAGAAGGAATACGTCACTGCTAATGGGGCACAAGAGGCCAGATCGCGATGCCAAACAGCCATATGCATGAGTATGCTGAGTATGCTCCAAGAGCATCCTTGGGGCAAAGCATTCGTGGCTTGAAACACACGTCCGCAGAACTTGCCGATTTTGAGAAACCTCTTGGTTTGACGACAGAGCCGATTCATGGCAATCCGCACGCCCTCTGGAGCTTGAAAAACTCCCGCCAATCCATCTGTGATGTCAAAGGTGAGGCGATCAAAGCACTTTTCCCTGTCGAAGAGGAATCCCCCAATCGGGCGACCTTCTAGTTGAGCGACCTCAACATCCAAAGAGAGCATGATGGAGATGTCATGCGTGGATCCACCTGCTCTGGCTCCACGCATATTATCCGGCATCCATTGTTCTCTCCACGACTGCATGTGACGGAAACGCAGTGAACTCCAACAACGGTAGAGTATGCCAAACACTGAGATAGGGCGCTGCTTTCCAGGTTTGGAGACGTCCCCCTTCGGCATCAAGCCTATTTGCGCATACGTGAGGCTCTTGGGCCATTGCATGCCTTGCTCGATGGCATCAAAGAAGTCCGCAACAATTTCCCATAAGAAGAGCGGCAGCCGTTGCAGCTCACCCGCTCTCCACCCATCCACGCCCTTTCCAGCATGTAGTGGCAACTTGTGAACCTGTGCCTTCCAATCTCTGGCAGTGATTTTAGGCAGTTTGCAAGGCTGGCACGCAGGGAAAGTGTGCCCATATCGCTGCTGAAAGGCTTCCCAAGTGGGCGGCGTATCATGAGAGTACAGGTTGAAGAGCTTAACCCAGAAATCCTCAAGAGACAGAAGCATATCAGGAACTGCTGACTTGACCCCGTCCTCCGCAATCACGTGTGTGATAGGTCGTTGTTCTCGTTGGCGAACCCATTTGCACAAGACACTGCGGTCATTCCGGAAAGATTTTCGCAAAGACTCCCGCCACTTTTGGACTCGACCTTGTGCTTGCCGCTTGGCTTCCCAGTCGAATCGTCTGGCAAGAGCATCAACTATGGCCTGCATATCCTGGATTGCTGGTTCGGCGTCCGTCCACCACCTGTCCCAATCTGCTTCAAGCAAACCACGACCCTTGCGGCAGAAACTTCTCCATGCCTCAACGCGCTGTCTGTAGTCAGCCCCGGAAATAGGTCTGCCTTCCGTGTGCCAACGAACATGTCGGCGGGACTGGGCTAGATAAGACCGGCCCTGCTGTAGAAGCTTCTGAAGTTGTCTCAAATGCATGGTTTGAGCTCCCCCGTTGATGTTTTCCCTCGGCGCCCTCGAGCTGAACTGGTCAAACCTTGGAGGTTGGCCACGACCCAGCGACCAAGTGCATGGCAGCTCCTCAGCCAGAGCTTCGAGAAAGCATTCCAAACCATGATTTAGCAATTGCCATGCTCTATCAGCCCGACCCAGTTGTAGTGCATCCCGATATGGAGCCTCTAAGGGTTGCCAAGTGCGTTGGCCCATTTCTTCAAGGGTGGCATCGTCATACTGGGGCATCTTCTTCAAGGGAAAGGGCCTAGGCTGACGCAGCGTGTACCCTTCCTCTCGAAAAGCTGTAAAATTGAACTCCGCCTCAAGCACAAGGTGGCCTGGAAGGCCAGCATCCCTGACCAGCCGAAAATCACGCAATGCACTGAGCGCTGTAGAGTTAACCAAAATGTAGTCAATTCGGGTAGCGCCCGGTATTGCTGCATGTTTGTCCCACTGAGGGTCTTGGCAATACGTGGGAGCCAATCCTCCAGCATGACCAAAAACCTCACCCGCATCATGCCATCTGGACGTAGACAACGCAGTGACAAGGGTAGGTGACTTATCGACCTGAATGTTTGCGTCCATACCGATGATGAAGGGCACATCCCCGTATCTAGAGGCCACCTCAAACACTTGCTGCAACATGCGTTCGTTACACTCAAAATGCTGATCTCGCCGATGCGGGCTTCCACCTCCAGCAAGACCATAGAAGCTGGCAACCATGATGGAGCGATTCCTGGCCAAAGGGACTCGTGCCAGCGCAAACCGCTGCCGCTCCCAAAGATTGCGGTCCGCATCATATGAGGTATCATGTGCCAGTGTAGACTGCGTGGGCAACCGTGACATGATGGAAACTCCTCCATGTCGACCGTTCCAAATAGTGGGCTTGATGTATCGCTGTCCTCCCTCCTGGAGTTCCTGGGAACTTTGAACCGGAACTGGGGCTCCATGAAGTAAGTGGCGACCTGCGCTCCTTGCTGTGGTAGTGGCTTGCTGTTGTGCCACTGCGGTGAGCCGACTTTCTTGCATTAGTACCACATCTGCATTCCATGACAGCAACTCCGGAGCATGTGGTCTCCAAGCTGTGATGTTGCAACTGCGAATTACAAATTTGCTCTCCACCGGGACGTTGGGCGCCTCCGATGGTATCACTTGCGGCAGGCCTGCATCATAACAGCTTCGGCTTGATGTCTCCCTGCTTTGTTCCCCTTGGCGAGATCCATGAGAAAGATCTCCCGACCCCAATGCGATGTCACTCCTAACCCGGGAGTTTGTGTCCTGGGATATCAAAGGTGTAACCCGACCACTCTGCTGCCCATGTACTCGCCAGGCCGTCTGAGATGTTGCCATCACTCGGCCCAGGTCACCAAACATAGTAAGCAGAATGACAAACCAAAGGCAAATAGCTCTGCGAGGTCGGCGGTGTCCCCTTGCCGAAGCCCCCCCGCTTCACTTCGAAAACTTGGCCCTCTTTTCTGCGACGAGCTCCTCAAGCATTCCCTGGATGTTTCGAAAGCGGTCATCTGTGCTGTCCGCTTTCTGTTCCACCTGGGAGATCCTCGCATCCATCGAGTCGAAACGTGCCAGAATTGTTTGATGTCGCTCATCAGTCATCTCCTCATCTTCCTGCGTCGGCTTGGCCGTTTGGGCAAGCTGCAGTTGCTCAATGCTTGTCTGCATGTTCTGCACCGTGTCCGTGAGCATCTGCACCTGCTGCTGGAATTTTGTCTCCAAGCCCGCATACCGTACCTCATGCACTTCGCGATGTGGTGTAGCCGTAGCCTGTGGAGTGGCCGCGCGTTGCTGCGGGCCCCGAATCGTCACCGGGGTTCCAATGGCACCCTTCCCGATCTGAGTGATGTTGAACCCTGGCGGGGGAGGTGGCGGGAAAGTGGAAGTTCTTGCCGATGCTGCCGCGGGCGGGGCGCGGACACTGTTGGGCAACTCATTTGCCCCTGAGGCCTTCAAAGCAACAGTACCCACAGGCTGAATCTCTACCAAGAAATCACCCGATGGCGTGGGCATCGTAACTGCTGTTTGCGCTGGCGCTTTGGGTGCTCGCACCTTGGCATGGCGAGCTTGCTTGTACACGTAGAAGTCCAAAATCGCACACTCGAAGCCCATCTGGGTGTTGAGCACTGTCTGGGCCTGATCACGCGAAAGGTGCAGCGGAAGATTTTTAACCACGAACATATCCGCGCCCACCAGTGCGTTGGGACCAAGCACCACCTTTGTAACTGCACTCAAGGCTTGCTTTTCGCACCGAACTCCCAAGCCACGGGATGTGCACACCAAACCCATGTGATCCCCAAGACCCTGTAGATCTGCAAGCGCCGTGGTCAGCGGAACTTCATCCTTGTAGTGCACAACCTTGTACTTTTCCCTCTCCTCCATCAAGGTGTCTCGGTCACCAAGGTGGGCATGCTCGAAAAAGACTCCGTCACATCCAGAATGTCTCCATACTTCACGTTCATGATCATGTGGCGCCTTGAAGAGGACTGAAAGGATCTGGGTGGCTCCCTTTCCGTAAAGTCGTGGACTCCACACATCCAAGATGGTAGGTGTCTTCTTGTCCTGTGAGAGTAGCTCCGTTTTCTTCTTGAGCAGGGTTTGGGCAAAGTCCCGAAAAGAATTCTTGGAGGTACGGAAAACTCCAAAGGCTTCTTTCCACATGTCCTGCGTGCAAAACCGCTGGTGGATAGACATGGTCAGGTTGACGGTTTCCTTCAAAATGGGCGTGATGTCAACCTTTGGTGGCTGTGCTGGAAGGGTGAGGGGTTGTTCTCCCACCTGCCAGTAAAAGCCCTGCACATACGACATGTGTCCTCCACGCTCGACAGGGATGAAGAGGTTGGTGGAGGGCATGTATCTTTCCATTTCCGCCGTGGGCGTGAACTCTGAAACCATCAACAAAGGCTCTGGGTTCTTTGAACCCGCGAAGTGCTGAAGGAACAACTCGGCCTGGTCCGCATCCAAGAACAAGAAAGCGCCCTTGGGGTTGGGTTTGTCGAGGGAAACATGCTGCAACCACACTCCGTCACTCAGAGCCTTCACCATGGCACCGTCCTGCAAGGCTTCCTGCATGGAAACTCGGTCCTTTGGTGGCTGCAACCTCTGATTCTTGGCAGGGCCCTTGCGGGGCTCTTCCGGTGCTGGATTTCGCTTGCCTGCATCTTTTGCATCACGATGTTTGCGACTGAGGCTCACGTCATTCTTTGATGCCAAATCAAACACTGCACGGACTTTGTTGCGCTTGGTAGCATCATTTTCATGCAGGATGCGTGTGAGCTCCGCTCGTGCTTGCGAGTACAGCTTCTCAAACGCCTCCTTGCGCAAGTCTTGCTTGGGCGCCCAAGGCAAATCATCGAAAAGAGACATCAGAGCGGCTTTTCCGATGTTGCCATTCACCATGCGCTTGAAAACATTCCGAGAATGCCTAGAGATAGTCCACATGGTACGAATCACCAACATCTGGATGTGAAAAACGACGTAATTAGCAACCACAGGGGCTGTCAGCAGGACCATGATGTGCAAGCACATCTGAGGGTTTACGTCGGGTATGAAGCACAAGCTCTTCATACCTAGCAGTCGCTCTGCACTCCGGAGCGCGCCTGCCTGCCTTAGGGTTGTAAGGTTTATCGGGTTGAGGGTTTAGGATCGGGCTGAGAGTTGATTTCGAGGGTTTGAGGGTTGTAGGGTTTGTAGCGTTGAGGATTTAGGGTTTGGGGTTTAGGGCAAGACGGACACTTTTGTCTGGTTTCGGGTCTGTAGGGAGTTGATGGTGCAGGGTTTAGGAATCCAGGATCTAGGGCTTGATTCAACGGAAGCCTTTTTTGTGGGGTTGAGGGTTAAGGGTGGACCAGCCTGTAAGGGCCCCTGATACGGGCCTGAGGGTACCTCGTTGGGGCAACATAAGGTATGCACTTGGGGCTTTAGGGGTTTGTGGTTTCTAGACAGGACCCAAGAGTAACCTAGGAAGAAAAGGGCGCCCTTTTTGCTTTAAAGGGGCATAAGAGAACCGAACCCCTAACAAAGGAAAGGTTCGGTGTTCAAGGGTTTAAGCTCGGCCAGCTTCAAAGATTCTCGGGGTGTCTTGTGGTGAAGGGCTTCTTGGGCTATAGGGTCTAGGGTCCAGGGCTTAAGGCTTAGAGTTTAGGGTTTAGGGGCGATCTGAT